TCTTCTTCTTCTTCTTCTTCTTCTTCTTCTTCTTCTTCTTCTTCTTCTTCTTCGTCGTCTTCTTCACTTTTTCTTCTTCTCTGAAGTTTCATTTTCATTGCGCCGAGGCTTATTAATCCTTGCATATTCACCTTCCGCCAGATAGCACTCTTAACCCAATCCTACAGCTAGCCATCCGTGAAATGGCTTATTTTTATCCAGTGCATCCCTTGTCAAACTTTTGATTTATAAGGCCCCTAACTCAGACTTGCAAATCTGTATTCAAATTGTCTCAAAAGTATGAATTGAGGCAGTAAGACGCTATCAGAATGCAGCTGTTGCACCGTTTTAGGGTCTTCCTCTTCTCCCAACCTCTTCTTGGTTGCATTCCTAAAAACCTGCCGCCGTCCGTTTCGAGCTGCACTGCCGTCTGACGGTGTATTGATTAGAGACCGCAGGACTTGAAGTTATCCGATGCTTTTAAAAATTGTGTTGCCTCATGCTTAACATTTTTAAAGTACGTAAATAAAAGGCCATTGTTTAGGCCCAAACAGATCGTTTTTTTGCGTGTGCTTTTTCAAAATTGCAGACTGCGTCCTTTTTGTCCCTTGTAGATGAAGGCTTCTTCAAACCAGCGACTCAGTCTTTCTTGTTTCCCCTCCATTTCCGAGACACTCTTGATCGTGTAACTACGACTTGCCATTGTCTTCCGCACCCGCGCCTTGCGTTAAAGCAATGAACACCTTTTTCTTGATTCGGCGCCTTCTATCTCTCTCTTTCCTTTTTTTTTACTGAATTACACTTGATCATTTTCACAAATTTTATTTTCCTCGACTTTTGCCGGCTTTTTAGCGGTTTTTGCTAGGTGATGCTCTAGCGCTTTAGGACTTCTGGCAGAACGAGCCCGTGTGTTGGCGTCTCCGTGAGTCTACGGCCGACGGACCGTGGAATGACCTTCAGAAAAGAGGGCAGGTTGCGAAATTGGGAGACTTTCCGGCAAATAAGTGCTCGCGGATCCGCAGGTACAGTGCTACGAAGGCGTAGAAAGTTCAGGTCTGATACATAGACTGCCCAATGACAGTTCGGCCGTCGTTGTCGACGATGTCCACCATGTGTTCAACAGCAAGGTGAGAACAGGTACGGTGACTTGTGCGCGAATTAGTTTTTAGTGATGGGGGCCTGTACGACGTCTACCGCACCCTCTCCTTCTCTCCCGCCTGAGCGCGGTGCCAAGACATAGTGTGGCGGTCAAGGATGTGAGATCAACTTAAACCACGCACAATAAGTTCGTTTCGTCTACTGTCAGAAGTCAGGGAGCTGTGAGGACTAGTTTATTCTGTACACAGGACAGGTTGCCGTAAGTAGGCTGTTTGCTTGCGACAGAGATAAGCGTCCGTTCACGGAGAGTGTCAGTCGCGGTGTGTCTTTACCTGGGCGTGTGTATGTGGGTCAGCAGGAAGGGGAGAATGACTGTCTGAGTGGTGGTCGTGTGATTGGACAAATTAGAGGAGGAATGGATGGCGCATACTCACAAGGCCTCACGGAAACAAGCCAAAACGTTCGACGCGCGTTAGGTGATACTAGTTTGTGAGGGCAGCCGGGGATCACTGCAGCTGGGCAGGAGGTGCCCCAGTTCTAGCCGGCGGGGGTGGTCGTGTGTCAGCGGCCTGCCAGTGCTTATCACGGTCATCGACCGACAAAACGGAGCCGGAGAAAAGGGGGGGCTGGAGCGGCTGCTACAATAGTCAAGAGTACCGACGACGGGGGAACGCGCAGGTAGCCGGCACGACCGGACCCGCACTTAGGCGTACCACCACATCCCCTGGTCAACAAAAAACGCTTGGTCAGGATTCTAACCAACAAGGAAAATGGGTCAGAAAGAGAAGGATGGCATTATTTATTTGGCAACCATGAACATGACCTGTGTACCCAGCGGGAGCGCAAGCGCATCCACCGGCAGGGAGCCAGGTGCCAGAGAACTGCCAGTGCACAGCAGGCCGAGGGGGCCACTGTTTCCTGAATCGTGGGATAGCCGACAGACAGAATCCTTAAAGCCCAGAAGGGTAAGACGCAGCCCCGCATTTAGCCTGGGTCATCACCTTCCAATGGTAGGATAATCAGTCAGGCATCAACTGAGAGGCACTACTCATACATACGCACACTTCACATGCGTGAGAGTGCCAAAGGTCAATTTAGGAAGGAGCCGTTGCAGCCGGATTCTCAGTTCGCAACTCCACACAAACACAACTGGGCAGACTGCGTGGACTGGGTTGAGGCGTCAATCGGCAACCTTCTAAGCCACGGCCCCTGGCGCACCGTGGTAGCCTCAGGCCCGGATCACATGCAACAGAGGAGCCACATGGAGAAGGGGTCGAGAACCACGCCTCCGACTTAAGTGAGAGTTGTCAATCTAGGGCTTGCGGCGGGGGCGAGAGTGGGAGAAGTCGACGTTAGCTTGTTGGTGCATTGCGTCCGAAGTTGCCCTACGAAGCCGATTCGTGCACGTAATGTGCGTTGGCAGCGCGGGCATGCTGGAAGTGGCTGTTTGTTGACATTGAAGAGTCGAGGCGCCTATGACCTGCGAACCGTATTTTCGACTTTAGCGGCGGCGAGCCGATTGACTTCTTAGGTGGTCGCACCGGTCTTCACTTCTAGTCTCCATACCAGCCTGTCCTGGGCGATGTCCTCCCAGCTCTCCGGGTTGATCTGGAGTTGTTTCAGAGTGTTCTTCGAAGTGTCCTTGTAGCGCCATTTTTGTCAGCCTTGCCGACGAGTACCCCTGGCAACATCCTCATAGAAAACTCATTTGGGTAGTCGCTTGTCGTCCATTCTCACGAGGTGGCTGCCCTAACGCAGTTGCAGTTGTCTCAACATGACGTTGATGCTGAGAATTCCTGTCCGTTCCAGCAATCCGGGATCCGGTCCTGGCATCTCATCTTTAGTATTTTGCGTAGGCAGCTTAGATGGGAGTGGTTGGGCTTCCTGACATGGCTGGAGTAGACAGTCCAGGTCTCCGATCCGCATGGAAATGTCGTCGGGTTTCAGTTGAATGCCGTGGCGATTTCACACGGCGTTCTGCAGCCGACTGAAGGCTTGACTGGCTTGAGAAATCCGATAGACCACTTGGTCGTTGCTTCTGATTCGGCGTGACATTCTGCTGCCCAGGTAGTTGAAGTTGTCCATGGTCTTCAGTTCTGTGCCGTCAACTTGGATGCAAGGGACACTGTACTCAGCATTCGGTGGCTGTTGATGCATGACCAACGTCATGTCCGCGTTGATGGCCAGTCGGAAGTGGGCGCAGCCGAAGTCGAAGAAGTCTGTGCTCAGTGGCATCCCTTCATCGGTCGTAATGTTGAGTGCGCAGTCGACGGCGAGTTCTTGGACAGTAGCCGTAGATGCACGCGACTGGACGTGCGTCTGTCGACGATTGAGGAGTTGACTGTCCATCCTGTAGGCGATGCGGATTCCGCGACGTTCGTCCAGCAGCGTGGCAGAGAACATGGAACTGAAGAGGGTGGGTGCGAGGACACAGCTCTGCTTCACTCCGTTGGTCACTACAAATGCCTCTGAGACGGCTCCACAGTCTGTGACGTGCGTCACCACGCCCTCCTGGAGGTGACGCACCATCACAGTAAACTGCTCGGGACAGCCAGATTTCTACGTGATTTTCTACAGTCCCACACGATCCACCGTGTCAAAGGCCTTCATCAAATCCACGATGGGAGAGTAGAGATGGGTCCACATCTCCTGGCACTTCACCTGCAGCCCTCTGGCGACGAAGGTCATGTTAATGGTGCCACGATGGCGGCGGAAGCCACATTGGCTTTCCGGTAGGAGTCCTTGTTTCAGATTGTTATTGAGGCGCATGAGGAGAACGCAAGCGAAGATTTTTTCTGTGGTGTTAATCAGCGAGATTTCTCTGTGGTTGTCAGAGTTAGCGGTCCCCTTGCTCCTTGTCGAAATGAACGGTTGTGGCGTCCTCGAAATCCTGTGACTTGTCCTTGGCCCCACATCCCATAGAAAAGCGTTGTGAGGTTATTCGTAAGGTTGGGGGCCGACGTGCTTGTTGATCTCAACAGGGATCGATTCTGATCCACTGCTTTCCCGCTGCACTGTTCTGATGGTTTCGTGGAGAGAGGGGGAGGCCGAGGTCGGCGTTGGTCATCATTTGAGTCAGCCTGTCGACGACGACGTCAAAGGCGGAGAAGGGAAGGATAAGTTGCCGCCGCAGACCACCTCAACGTGCATATATTCCTTCACTTGCTCCTGTGGAGCAGGTTATATTGGTCGCACGAGTAGGCGCTTATCCAAGGGAATACGCGAACACCTTCCCGCATGGCTGGCAAAAGGTGAAACTAGGAGAATAGACAGCGCCATTCTCGCGCATATTGTCGATTCCGGACATCGCGTGGGCCCCAACGAAGCTTTTCGTGTAATTTATAAGGTCCCATCGAGCTACCCTAAGCTACTAGGCCAGCGCCTGTTAGCGACAGCGGAAGCAGCCGCCATTAGGCTACGAAAGCCAATCTTATGCGCGCAGAAGAACCACGTTCAGGCTCCGCGCCTACAGTGGTCGAAGGTCGACTAACACTGCTACACTTCGCGCCCTTCCGCTCTCACCCCGCCCCTGACAATGACTGCTATTACCCATCCCACCCTCCCCCCCCCCACATTCCCACACCCCGTCCGTGTTTTAAGTAGAACTTTTATCGATTTTCTTATCGCTGACGTGTTTTTCTTCTACCCCGTTCTCATATAACTGTACTGGCCCGACGAGAATTTATCGAAAGCTACGTATGCTCGCCACCTCGTCTTCTGATTACTGCTATGGGAATTTTCGCAACTCTAGAACTTATTTTCGTCTGCATGCAATATCTATACTCTGCAAAAAATGACCACTTAAGTAGTATGCAACTGTCTCATTGATTTTCGATGCCCCTGAAAATTCAATTATATTTCATGGAAAACATGCATAAAAATATTCATTCTTTTACTTATTCGGTAGAAAATCCCGTCTTCTTCCAATTTCATACTCAAAAGAAGAGTATAATTCGGTTTAAAAAAACTTTTCTAATTCCCGAATAATTTTGAACCCGACCTGCTGTTACACTTGCATTCAGGGTTTCAAAACTACAAGCTGTATATTTTCCTTTTACGGAAAAACATGCATTTCTTTACGGTGTTAAGAGGAGACCATATGAGGTTCATAAAATTAAGCAGCGGATTTTAGCAATATTGTTAACTTTACAAGCCACATTCGTAAATGCAGATACATGACGTTTCATGAACGGCCATTTAACGGTTTTAAAAATTCTCACAATTAAAAAGTTTTTAAAACCGAATTATACTCTTCTTTTGAGTATGAAATTGGAAGAAGACGTGATTTTCTACCGAATAAGTAAAATAATGAATATTTTTATGCATGTTTTCCATGAAATATGATTGAATTTTCAAGGGCATCGAAAATCAATGAGAAAATTGCATACTACTTAAGTAGTCATTTTTTTGCAGAGTAAAGATTTTGCATGCAGCCGAAAATAAGTTCTTTCGAAAGCCAACACCCTGAGGTAAGTGGATCATTATAGATTTATGCTGCATCATGATTAGTTTTACAACACTACTTAATTTATCTTTTCGAAACGAGAACGCATTTCGAAATTTTGGTTGACATTTCATTAGTTAGCACATCTACTGTAAGTGTCGTGAAATGCTTGCATGAATCAAAAGAAGAAGAGGCGTTCACTGGGAGGGGTTTATTGGAGGTCCAACGTTTCGATTAGTTGATTCGTATACCCATCTTCAGAGATTGGAATGTCCTACGCACATCTCCCCTTATATGGCGCACTTTGTTCAATGCGTCACCCGCCAATGCCGCCTGTGTGGCTGCATCCAACCCGCATGCCACCGTGACCTGAATCGCCCACTCTCGGCCGCGGAGATGACTGACGGTCCCGATTGTCTGGCACCGTGGCTAATATTGATGCTTGCATGAATATTTGCTCACAATGGAATCTATTCATGGGGATTTGTCGATAGGCTACGGGAAGTCCTTTTCTATCTTGAATAAACTGGCAAAACGTCATTACCGGTCTGGAAGAGTACGTGGAGAGGACTGGCGAGAATGTCGTATGTTGACTGTTATTTAAGGAGAATGTCTACTAACATTTGGTGTACAGCACTATCATTCTGATCATGACGAGCCGATCATTTTGGATTGCCGTACCTTTATGTTAAGAGTCGACAACCTTGAAATCCGCTCGTCGTCGTTAGCTAGGAAACCTTTTCGAGTATTTAGATGTGGAAAATATCTGATAGCTGGCCAATCTCATGAAGAGTTACCTGTAAATTTCGAAATCTGTTTTTTAGTAGGAAGGACTGCTTGGTTGGTATCGAAATATTGACCATCTTGCAACATCACTCCAAGATATTTCAGTCACGTCTGGATGGTTGGCTCTCGAAAAAGCTTTTCCCGGCCACCTACAAAAATTATACTCGGTAAAAAGTGGTCATTCAAGCGATATACACTTTTCGAGTGCTTTTTAATGCAGTCATAAATTCAAAGGTAAGAATAGGTTGCCATCTCAGGCCGCCTCAATGCGCATATACTCATTCTCTCGGTCCTGTGGAGCAGGTTATACTCATCGCACGAGTTGACTCCTATCCAAAAAGAGTACGAGAACACCTGCCGGCATGATTGGGAAAAGGCCAAACTAGGAGCATAAGCATCGCCATTCTCCCACATGTTGATTTCGGGCGTCATGTGGACTCTAGCAAAACTTGTCATGGGATTCATAAGGTCACTTTGAGCTGCCCCAGGGCCAGCGTCTGTTTGCAAAAGTAGAAGCGTCCGCTATCAGATTACGACAGCCGGCCTTTGTGTGCAATCAAACCTCGTTCAGGCTCCTCACCTACCATGGTCAAAGGCCGGCGAACTAAATGCTGCTCTCTGCGCACCTCCGCTATCACCCCGCCCCTGCTATTGACTCTTATTACCCCTCCCCCCTATATTCCCACACCCCACCTGTGTTTTAAGCCAAACGTTAGTCGACCTTTCTAATCACTGAATGCTTTACTTGACTCTCTTCCCATATAAATACACTGACCTGACGAGAGTTTGTCGAAGGCAAACGTATGCTCGCAAACTTGCAGTTCGACCGTCGTGATCGACAATGTCCACAGTGTGCTCCATGGCAAGGTGGAAGCAGGCGTGGTGACTTGTGCGTGATTTCTTCTGTGGTGGTAGTTGTTTTGCATGACATCTACCGCACTCCCTCCTCCCCACCTGATCCCAGTGTCAAGACATAACCAATGAAACCGGAGGTGGAAGAGGGCTCAGGTGACCAGCGCCACCCCCCTAGACGTACCGCCACACCCGGCTCGGATCCCACTGAATGGGGATGCCATGGAGGCCACATAAAGAAGGAGCTGTTTCAGCCTGACTCTGATTCCGCCAATCCACACAAACACACACGTTGGACTGACTGCGAGGTTCAAGTTATCCCGTCAGTTGGCATTCTTCCAAGCCACGGCCTTTAGTGCACCGTGATAGCTTTAAGCGCGTCAGATTGTTTTTAGTAAGAAAAGTGCGCTGGGACATCGACTTCTCCTCTTCCTCTTTCCAGGCACCAATCAGTTGTCCGAGCCGGCCAGATGTCTGATGTCGGAAGTGGGCGCAGTGGCTGACAGAGACCGTCTGCGCGTGCCACACGCACGGCCTGACTCCCAAACGCACACACCAGGAGTACACACAAAGGGTGTGGAACGTTCGGATCTTATATGCAGCAGAGGAGGCACACGGAGAAAGGAGCCGAAAATTACACTTCCAGCCTTCGTGAGAAATGCCGGTGATGTTTGGTTCGACGGTTCGACCGACGATTGCGACTATGTCCAAGGTGTGCTCAACAGCAGAGTGCGAGCAGGTGACGACGACTTTCGTGTAAATTCATTTGTGGTGGTAGTAGACTTTCGCTGCATTTGCCGCACTCTCCCCTCCTTCTCCTTACAAGCATCTAATGCCAAGAGAGATTTGAGAAGACCGGAGGTGGGAGAGGGCGCAGGTGGATGACGCGGCCGTAGTCGTCCCTAGACGTACCGCCACACCCGGCTCGGATCCCAGCATCGTTCGAGCCGTTCTGATGCTGGAAGTGGGCGCAGTGGCTGTCCGAGACCGTCTGCGCGTGCCACACGCACGGCCTGGCTCCCCGAGCACAAGCATCAGGGTTTCGCACAAAAAGTGGTGGGCCGCATGCATCTCACCTGCGCGAGAGTGCCGGAGGCGAGGACACGTTAAGAAGGTGACGTTGCAGCCTGACTCTCAGTCCACCAATCCACACAAACACACACAACTGTACGGACTGCGTGCACTGAGTTGGGGCGTCAGTCAGCAGCCTTCCAAGCCACGGCGTGTGGCGCACCCCTGATAGTCTCAGGCTCGGATCACACCTTCAACAGCGGAGCCACATGGAGAAAGAGCCGAGAAACACACTTCCCACTTACATGCCGGGTGTCAATTGCGTGCTTGTGCTGTGTTGTGATTGATGTTGTCGGCATATGTTGCAGGAGCCGATGTGGAAAGGTGTGTTGGTGTAGTTTGGAGGCCGGGGGGGGGGAGTGCGGTCTACTTCAGG